CTGGACACGGCGGCGAACTGCCGCCCTCCCTGCGGTTTTCGAAGGACCGAGTCAGTTCCGCCAAGCCTCTCAGCCCCTCGGGAGTCGATTGGAAAGAGGTTACGAAGTCGTTCGAGCTCGGCGAACAGTGGATGAACGAGGCGCCCTTCAACTCGGCTGGAGCCTTCCCGTTCTATTACCTCTACGCCTTGGAACGGTACCACTCGTTCAACGAGTTGCGGTCGGGTGAATCGGAACTGGAACCCGAGTGGTACGAGCAGGGCGTCGACTACCTGGAGGGAAGTCAGATCAAGCCGGGCCAATGGAACAATGGCTGTGGCGCCCCGGCCGACACGGCGTTTGCCGTTCTGTTCCTCATGCGCGCGACTCAGAAGAGCCTCCAAGGCGGCATCGGCGAGGGGGCCCTCGTCAGCGGCCGGGGCCTGCCGAAGAACCTCTCGTCCGCGACGCTCAAGCGGGGTCAGGTCGTTGTCGAGATGGACGTCGTGGGCGTCGCCGACTTCCTCTCGATGATGGAGAAAGGGGAGGCCGACCGCCTCGACGCCCTCGCGGCGGACCCGTCCGCCCTGCTTGTCGGCAAGCTCTCGTCTGCCGACGCGGCGAGGTTGTCGCAAGTTCTCCGCGCCGGCGAACCGAACCAGCGGCTCGTCGCCGCCCGCGCGCTGGGGAGCCTCGGCGATCTCGACTTCGCCCCGGTGCTCATGTACGGGCTGACCGATCCCGACCCACGCGTGGCGCTCGCCTCGCGCGACGGACTGCGGGCCATCGCCCGGCGGCCGCGTGGCTTCGGCATGCCTGACGAGTTCAACGACGACCAGCGCTACGCCGAACTCGAACAGTGGAAACGGTGGTATCTCACCCTACGGCCGGAGGCGGTGATCGACCTTGGCCGTTGAGTCGCTTGAATCGCTGCGCCCCGAGCGGGCGGCGTCCGGGCTGCGTGTCAGCGCGTACGACCGCACGAGCAGTTTGCTCATTGCGCTGTTGCTGATGGTCGGCATGACGACCTTCGGCATCGTCGTTATTTTCTTCTCCAGCCGGCTGGAACGCACGCCGCCGGCGATCCCGGTGACGCCGGTATCCCCGTTCAACGACAGCGCCGCCAACAACCCGCAGGCGAACAATCTCTTGCCGGGCGTCGAGAACGCCCCAGAGATACTCGAGAAGAACCTCGAATCGCTTCTCGATCAGCTCTCGATCGCCGCCACGAGCGACGAGGTCCTCATGGCCGAGGACATGACGACCGAGAACGACCAGAACGCCGGCGCCTCGAAGGGCGACCCCCGCGGCACGGGCGTCTCTGGCAACGGGATGGGGATGGGTCGCGAACCCCGCCGAGAGATCCGCTTCGAGCCCGAATCGTTCGATCAGTACGCGAAGTGGTTCGACGAGGTCGGCCTCGAGGTCGCGGTTCTCGGCGCCGACAACGTCGTCTATTACGCATCCAAGGTCAGCACGCCCAACCCCGTTGTCCGAACCGGCGACCCCTCCGAAGACTCCCGGCTATACTTCAATTCCGCAGGGGGGCCGCTCTACCCGCTCGATCGCCGCCTCGCCGAGAAGGCCGGCATCCTCAAGCACGGCCAGTTGATCCTCGAGTTCTGCTCGCCCGCCCTGCAAAACAAGCTGCTCGCCCTGGAGAAAGAAGCCGCGGGCGACCGTCCCACAGGGGACATCGCCTTGACCGTGTTCAAGGTCGTGAAACGCGGGTCCGGTTACGACTTCGAGGTCGCTGAGCAAAGGCTGTACTTCTAACCCCAACGCGGGCGTTCTCAAGCAGACGCCCCGCTACAACGCGTCGCTGACAAACTAAAAGAACGAGCATGAAATTCGAGCTGCTCTTCAAGATCGTTGAGTACATCACCTTCATCGGGCTGGGGGGGATCGCCATTTGGGGCGTGTTCAATCTGATCCTGGTGTGGCGGCGCGTCGCGATGGTGCGCTTCCGTGACGAGGAAGAACTCGACGCCTTCATCGAGGCGATCGACGAGCCCGTCAACGCTAAGAGGTACGACGACGCGATCGCCCTCTGCGGCGAGGACCGCCGGGCCATGCCGCAGCTCGCGCTCTACGCGATCATGAACCGTGAGCAGGGCGCCGAGCGCGTCGAGCGGCAACTCGCCGAACGGTTCCAGCTCGACGTGATGTCCGACATCGACTACCGCCTCAGCTGGGTCGCGACCGTCATCAAGAGCGCGCCGATGATCGGCCTGCTGGGCACGGTCGTGGGCATGATGGGCGCCTTCTCCAACCTCAGCTCCGGCACCAAGGTCGACACCGGCCAAATGGCCGAGGACATCATGTTCGCTCTGATCACGACCGCCTGCGGCCTCTCGATCGCGGTGCCGCTGCTCTTGGCCCGTGAAGGCATCAACGTCCAGATCCGCAAGATGGAAGACCTCGTGACCGCGGGCGTCTCGCAGATCCTCGAGGTCTTACGGCTCCGTTAGTCTGCCGTCGCTCACTTCCATCCGCCCAACCCCGACCCGCCACTTCCGTCGCCGTGCCGTTCAATCCCGACGCCGCCACGCTCTCTCCTTCACTCCGCCGGGCCAAGCCCGGCGCGGGAGAGGATGAGGTCGACATCACGCCGATGATTGACATCACGTTCCTGCTGTTGATCTTCTTCCTCGTGACCTCGACCCCCGACCAAGAAAGCTCGGTGCGCCTGCCGGAGGCCCTCCACGGCGAAGCGGTCAGTCAGCTCGAGTCGACCGTCTTCACCATCGGCGAAGCGTCGGGCCCCCTCGCGCCGATCTACGCCGCCGACGGCAAGATCGATGAGTTCCTGCTCCCCGAGGACGCCGCCTCGCGAGACGCGGCCATCCAGAAGGCGGTCGAGGCAGGCCTCGTCGATAATAAGCCCAACGTCATCGTCAAAGCCGATAAGAGCGTCGCCTACCGCCACGTGGCGGCAGTGGTGACCAGCATCTCGCGCGTCGAAGGAGTGAACCTCCACCTCGCCGTCCTCGATACCGATTAGTTCAAGGCGTCCTGAGCCACCCCATGGCGACTCCCCCACCACCTCCCGAAGAACCGCGCTCCGGCCCCCGGCCGAGCCCGTGGGCCCGCGCGCGCCGCAACGCGGCCGAGGAGGAAGGGGACATGGACATGACGCCGATGGTCGACGTCACGTTCTTGTTGTTGATCTTCTTCATGATCACCGCGGCGTTCGCGCTGCAGAAGGCGATCGCGGTGCCGCCGGTGAAGGACGACGACTCGGCGCCGACCCAATCGATCGACGAGTTAGAGGAAGACTCGATCATCGTCCGCCTCGACGGCGACAACGTCTACTGGGTCATGTGCCCCGCCTGGACCGAAGAGGTCAAGGCGCCCAGCCGCCAAGACATGCGCAACCTCGTCCGCGCTGCCCGGAAAGGCCAGATGCCCGACGGCGCCGCCGGCTCCAGCGGTGGTTACCGCAAGATGCTGGTCCAAGCCAGCGGCGACGCGACGCACGAGTTCGTCGTCTCGGCCCTCGACGCGGGGAGCGGCGCCGGCGTTGAGGAGATCCGCCTGATGAGTGTCGAAGACGAGTATTAACCGCCCCCCGTGCCGCACGACTTTCTCGCAAAGAGACCCCCGACCCGATGGCGACCGCCAAACAATTCCTCGAAGCGATCGAGCTCCAGAAGCTCGTCTCTAGCGATGTGCTCGACGAGCTGTACGAGGAGTACCGCGCGAGCGGCGGCGCGATCACCGCGGAGGCCCTCGCTAAGAAACTCCAGTCGCGCGGCCTGATCACCGACGGCAAAGCGGCGACCCTCCTGCAAGCCTCCAGCGAGAGTTTTATTCAGGTCGGATCGGGCATCCTCAACCCCGCCAACCCGACGCCTGTCGCGCCGGACGATCCCTTCGATTCGGACCTCGAAACCAAGAAGACCAAGGGCGGCGTCAAACGAGACGCGGCCGGCCGGCGGAAGCACGTCCAGAAGTCCCACAAGAACGACTTCGACTCGCCGCTGCTGCTGCTTGGCGGCGGCGCCCTGGCGCTGCTCGCGCTCGGCGGCATCGCCTTGGTGGTGGTGATGAACCTCCAGTCGGGCGATCAACTGCTCGAGTCGGCCCAATCGGCCTACGCCAGCGGCTCGTACGCGCAAGCCCGTGAAGTGTACGAAGAGTTCGTCGAGGACTTCGAGGGCAACGCCCGGTGGAGCGAGGCCCGCGTCAAGCTCGCCGTCGTGCGGTTGCGGCAACAGACCGAGACCGCCAGCGACTGGCCCGCCGCGCTCGCGACCGCCCAGCAAGAGCTGCCGCAGATCGAAGACGAGGAGGCGTTCTCCGAGAACCGCGGCGAGTTCGCCTCGATCTTGCCGCGTATCGCCCGCGGCCTCGCCGACTCGGCCGACCGCGCTTCCGGCGGCGCCGACTTCGACAACGAGAAGGTCGAGGGGCTCGTGAACCAAGCGACCGAAGCGCTCACGCTGGTCAACAACACCAAGTACGTCCCCAAGTCGTTGCGCGACGAACGCGAAGTCACCGCGATCAACGACCTGCTCGACCGCGTCGCCCGGCGTCGCGAGGCGCTCGACGACCTCGGCAAGACGCTGACGGCGATCGAAGCGGCGACTTCCAGCGGCGACATCGAAGCGGCCTACAAGGCGCGGACCGCGTTCGTCGATCGGCGCCCCGAGCTGCGTGACGACCCCCGCCTGGCGGAGAAACTCGCAGCCGCGGTGGAAGCCGAACGCAGCCAAGTGAAGTTCACTCCCGAGCCCGCCGACGCCGTCACGACCGAAGACGAATCGCCGGTTGCCCTCGCGCTGCCCCTCGTCAACCCGCGCCGCGACGGCGCGGCGACGGCCGACGGTGTGTTCACGGCGACCTTCCGCGGCGTCACCTACGCCGTCAACGCAGCGGAC